TTCTTCTTCTTCTTCTTCTTCTTCTTCTTCTTCTTCGAGAGAGAGAGAGAGAGAGAGAAAGAGATCGATTAGAACCCGTCGAATAATACGCGCTAAACGAACGCTCTCGTTTGCAACGCGTCGATAAATAGTTTTTTTTGTTCGTTACCGCGCGATGTAGGACACGGTAGTTTTTATTTTGTCTACGAGCGTAACAAAATGTATCCTGCGCCTCGGCGAGAGCGAGCGCGTAGCGAACCAGAGCAGGGCAGATGGTTGAAATACGATAAAATTTGCAGGAGTGCTAAGGTCCTCGACGGACGATCCGTACGATCAGATGCGTCGAAGTCGGCTGGTGGAACCAAGGACGAGGGCTCGGAGTATATCGCCTCACCGGCCGTTGTCTCAGCGAGATGCTCGGAGTCAGAGCGTGGCGCGGAATGCGAAAGAACGAAAGGGATCGATCGAGACCGCTTGCTCCAAGTCCGAATGGTTCGACAAGGACTCGGCGGCAGTCGGCGGTTACGAGGAAGCGTCGCGTAAGCTACGGCCGAACTATGCCGGCGCGATGTCCAGGAGGGACGAGTGGCTCGCGGAGGAGCCGCCGCCGTCGCAGATACCGACGTCGATGCCGACGGCGGCGGCGCCCGCGGCGTCGCCGTCGCCCTCGCCGTCGCCGACGACTCTGCGAAACCGGTCGTGCTCGACGACGACCGGCGGCGTTCGACTGGCGCGGATACCGAAGAAGATCAGAGACACGAGAAACGATTGGTCGGACGGCGGGCCGGCGAAGGCGCAAGAACAACCCGGTCAGGCGAAAATCAACCAGGACGAATGGAAAGAGCGGCCGTCGAGCAGCGGCAGCGGCGACGGAGGTAGCGGCGGCGACTCGAGACGAAGCATTCTCGAGTGCGACGTGAATCCCTATCTCTTGTTGAAGAAGCAAAAGGACGAGGACGACCTCAGCGACGATCTGTCGGACAACGCCCTCGAACAAGACGACGCGAGACCGCTCTCCAGCCTGTTCGATTCCTCGAAAGTGAAATCGATCGAGAGGATACCGAACAGAAGCGCTGTCGCGGAGATCGGCGGCCAGAGGATCAGGGTGTTCAACGAGCCGCGCGAGATCTCGGACGAGGAGGACGTTTTGCCTGTGACGAGGATTCCCATACCAAAGGTTTCACCGAAGCGACCACCGAGAAGACTGAAGGAAGCCAAACAAACGCTCAAGAGTATTCTGAAACGGGGCAAGGTGCTCGAGACCAGGAGGAAGAACGTCCTATTCAACGTCGATAACGTTATATTCGCTCCCGAGAAACCCTCCGAAGCGATACGATTGTCCTGGAGTCGACTCGGCAGGATCGCGACTTGCGTCTCGAACGTGGAGGAACGAATCGACGACGAGTCGGAGGAAGAGGACGACGGACGCGAACACGAGTCCGGACAGGAAAAAGAGCAACAATATATACAACAGCAACAACAACAACACCAGCAGCAGCAGCAGCAGCAGCAACAACAACAACAACAACAACAATTGGAAGAGAGAACACCGCCAACGATGAACCAGGAGCAAAGGGAAAAATATAATTTTATCACCGTTCCGAATATCAGGGATCCAAAAATCGATAGAATTAGACTAAAAGAGCGCAAAGTCTCGCCGGACGCGTACCAAATGTATCCTCTTCGTTCGGATGGAAACGGAAATAGGAAGGACAAGTTGTTACCTCCGGTTTCCCACGTGGAACTCACGCCCCCGGCGCGAAAGAAGGGAAACGTCGACGCGTCGCGAAAAACCGAAGACGCTCGAGAAAATAATCGTACCGTTTACGCCAGCAACCTTAAAACCGCGAAGCAACAGGACGCACGAAACAACAGGATAGAAGAGGAGAGTCTAACCGGTGTGAACGAAACGGAACGAACTCGGCTCGAGAAACCCAAAGATCGTATTCCAGGCATCGCTGTCGACGAGAAAGATCTGATATTAAAGTCCGAAGGTAATGTTTACCCGTTCCAATTCAATCTGTAGCTATCGAATCTTTCCAGTAATCGTATTAACGTTTTTGTTACAGAATCCAACCGGTTCCGTAAGAATTTACCGAGTACGAATGTACATATATCGTACAAATAGAATACCGCTCGCGAACGTTGAAATTAGAGAATCGTATCTTTTCGAAAAAAAAAATTATTTATATATTAATTATATTAACGAAACGTTAAATTGTTACCATTTGCTGAAGCATTTTTCATTGAATTTACAGAAAACTCGAAGAGGTCGTACTTGTCGCGCAGTCAAAGCGAGCGGTCGCACAACAGGCCCGAAGTTACCGCCGGGAATGTACATTTTCTGGACACCATGCGTCTCAGTCTGTCCAGGAAAACGAAGGAGGCATCGTCCGCGTCGGATTCCGAGCGAACCGAGACCCGACGGGAAGATTCGTCCGAATCCGTGAACAGAATCGAAGAAACAAGATCCGAGCAACGTTTAGCCGCTGCGAAAGATATCGAGCAAGTTCCTAAAGAAATAGAAAAAGTAGCGAACCCGACAACGGTCCTCGAAACCGAGATAGAAGCGTCCAAGGATATTCGGAGTCGCGTCGAGGAAAAGAACGTTCAATTCCGGCGAATGAGACCGACCAGTTGGTCCCCGCCACCTGGTAAACAGAAATATCATCGAACGATCGATGGCTCGGATGCCAAGCTGAAAGAGGTGGGTCACTCTTGGTCGGAACGAAGCAGTCCCACGTTGAAAACCACGTGGAAAAGATCGAATTCTTACGGATCTTCGAAAATTGAAATTGGATCGCCGACGACGGAGAAGAACGTGTACAAAATTACGGTCAGTCCTCGGGCTTCTCCGCTCGTGCATCGACTTCAGATCGGCCCGGGTACCAAAGGGGCGAGAAGAACGTCGATTCTGATCAACGGAGATCCGACACCGACCACGGAGACAACGTCCGACAATAAAGTGACCATCAGCGTCGGTGGAGAGGACAGCGTTTACAACCCTACCGTGATCTCTGTAAATTTGGAAAACCCGCCCAAGATAAAAAGCTCGCCGGAAAATCGCACCCTCGTCATATTGGATAATTACAAGTCGAACATCGTCGTCGAAACCGGCAAAGAAGATACGAAGCCGTCGAAAACGGACTTCGAATCGACCGTAGAAGACGAATTCTCGCGAGAGTCGAGCAAAACGTTGCCAAATGTTCCAGACGCATCCATGGTATCTCCCGTATGCACGGTGTCCATGGTATGCACGGATATCGAGAAGCAAACGAGATCGAACATCGACGCTGGAAAACTCGCCGCGCTCGAGAATAACGCGAAATTGCCGGCAACCGGTGATCCGGATCTTCGAACGGAACGAACGGAACGAACGGAACGAACGGAACGAACGGAACGAACGGAGAAGAAGAAGAATCACGCGAGAAGAGAAGAAGACGCTTCCTCGTCGTCGATGATTTCCGAGCTGTCGAAGGAAGCGTTGATCTCGAAACTGCTCGAAGATTCGCTGCGGAAAGCCCGGGAAAACGGAGAGATACTCGACGAAAGTAGCGGCGAAGCGATCCTGAAGATTCTGAAGCAAAGTTTGTTGAAGAGCAACGAATACGAAAGTTCCGAATCGACCCTCGAGGCAAATTACTCGAGAACGTCCAGTTTAAACTCGGACGGTGACTTCGTCTCGACGAATCTTTTCCTCGAGGAAAATCCTTACGAAGTGATCAAGGAGCCCATTTACGAGGAGATTCCCGACGAACCTCCTCCGTTGCCGCTGAGCCCACCGCCGACCGAAGACTATTTAAAGGACAGGATATACTTCGGAGACATCGCCGATTATTATACGAGCGCGAAGGGTAGTTCCGAACAGTTCCTTCGATCGTACTTGGTCGACGATATGTACAAAAAGCCGAATGCCGAGGATCTTACGGAGCGGGAGACTTACCTTTCCAAGAGTCCCGAGAGCTTTTTCAAGAAAATGTCGATATCGCCGGAGGAGGAGCAAATTTCGAGTAAATTCGAGCTGCTCAACTTTCTAATGGATTCGAAAGATCGCGCGATATCGATCGAAGGCGAGGACGAAGAGGACGACGAGGACGACGACGAGGAAGATACCGAGGGAGATTTGGAGGCGTTGTACGAGCAGAAAGAGACGAGTCTTGGCGATCTGAGCTCGAAGAGCTCGCAAATCTCCAACGTGTCCGACAGCAGCGAGGAGTGCAACATCATCTTGACCAGTTCATCGGAAACGTCCAAGGTCGGTCGAACGTTCGTCCGTTTCGTCGGAGACGAAACAGCTGCCCGGGTCAAGCGAAAACGATTATTTTTTTTTCTAGACGCGAGCCGTCGATATCGAAAGGACCGATAGCGGAGTGGGTTCGGAAAGCAGTCAGGCTAGCAGCACTCGAGGCGTGCCGAGACGTTGGCGCGTAGGAAACATTTCTTCGGGGCCGGGAAGTCTCTTCGGTGGAATCCCGCAGGTGATTTCCGGCGATTCGAAGCTCTGCGAGGACTGCGAACAGCGTTTGGATCCCCTGATAACGGACAGGTGAGAGTCAACGGGCGACGAACAAACATTTTCTACGAATGTTGTTACGCAACTATATAATATTAAGTCGAGTCGTACGTATATTATACGGCAATGGTAATTTTACGCAGACTACGGTAATGTATACGCGACAACGGGACAAGCGGCGTAATAAATCCAAGAATCGTTGAATTTCGCTTTCTCTTACCATCGATTCAGTTAACCGCAGGAAGCGAAAGTTTTCTTCTATTAAATATACTGTATCAACGTCGAACCGACTGCAGTGCCAAAATCACTGCGATACTATTTATCGCGTATCGCATAGAAACGGGTCAAAATTCAAAACCATATGTTGGAAAGATTTTTTAAGGTGCATGAAAAATACGCCGAACATCTATAGATCTAATAATATTTGTATGTACGCGCTATCGTAGTGCCGGAGCAGTCGAATCGATCGCTTGATATTCGAATTACCTTCGTTCGTCTCGTTTCGTACGTTTCCATATAATATTATGTACAATAACGATAAGTATTTTCTAGTGGTGTAGTGTACGCACCCTTTGTATGCAGAAAATGTGCGAAAAAGAGGGTGGAGCGCAAAGAAATTATCACGGAAATCGTGGAGACCGAACAAAAATACGGGAGAGATCTTCAAATCATACTCGAAGAATTCCACAGACCGATGTTCAGGGCCGGTCTTCTCACTTCGGAGCAATTGACAGCAATATTCCTGAACGTCGAAGAGCTTTTGGAACACAATCTTGTCCTTGCGGAAAAACTGAAGGATGCCGTGGAATTGGCGCAGGTATGCATTGTTGTACGGTGTGTACGATAATAGACAAATATTTTAAAGAAAAGATTCCTTTCCACGTTTCTCATTGTTTCAAGTTCAAGTTTCGCACAGCTTAACAGTCGATAATTCTAAACAGGAATCTGGAGACGAAGATCTTTTAACTGTGGACGTAGGGAAGATCTTTCTGGAGTCTGAGCGGATGCTTCACGCGTTCGAAAGTTACTGCACCCGTCAAGGAAGCGCGAGTTTGCTGCTGCAAAATTTGGAGAAAGAAAAAGAACTGCTGCGTATCTTTCTCAGAGTCTCGCAAATGGAGAACACTGTTTTACGTAGGATGAACTTGAACTCGTTTCTCATGGTAAGACCCGACGAGAAGTATAGAGAAAGATCTACGAGTTTTATTTGTTTCGTAAAGTTGCGCGAATATAAGTTTAATTATTTATTATTCGATCGGTAGCAGCGAGAATTCTTTGTATGCTCCGACTGCGCCGATCGATTATCCGGTATGTATGTGTACCGAAATGTATCGATGTACACCGGGTTGCTCTTCACAGGCGAGTATCAACCTCCGGATAATGTTATCGCGTTATTTTTGTGCCGCATCCGTTGACAGCAATCCGGTCTACCCTAATGTATTTCTATATAGGAAGAAATCAAACGACAGGCGGCGCGAAGGAAAGGCCTGAAATTATTGGCAGAACAATTTAGATAAGAAATAATCGAAGTTATAATAAAAGAGCAACCGAATTCTGTTCTAGGTACCTGTTCAAAGAGTGACAAAATATCCTCTTCTATTAGCACGGCTGCTGAAAGCTACGCCATCGGTTAGACCGGATATACAAGAAGCTAAAGAAAGACTGAAGCAGGCTCAAGCCAACATAGAGCTGCATTTAGAACACATGAATGCTGTAAATATTTCGTTCGCTTCGTACATTATATAAACATATAGTATATAAACAAAATATATTATATAATTAATTACACGCGTTTAACACGTTCATGCCAGCATGGTGCCAGCACGAACACGGTTCGAAACGAGAAAAGCGCCGGCGTGAACGTGTTAAAACTGATCAGACTTTGGCTCGTTAATGCAATGATTTCAATGACGCTACAATAGGAAGCTAAAGACGTGACTTCGACGAAGCTTTGGAGAAGAATTTCCATCATACAAAACGGTAGACGACTGATCGGCGAGCAAGATATGGTCAATATAAAGTTGAGGAAGGTAATTATACATTATTTTCGTGATTTACGTACGGTTTACATGCATCGCGATTCGATTCGCTTGTTTTACTGTCCTCGGGCATCGCGTTTATTGCAACAGATGGCCGTAGAAGTATTAGAATGGGCTCACGAAGAAGCCAGATTTGTTTTGGAGGGACGTCTTTTGGTTGCTCAGCCAACCGATAATAATTGGAGACGAGGACGAACGGTCAAGCTTGCGCCTGTTACCGCCATGTTGGTTACCAATGGCAAAGTAAGTTGACGGTATGGTAAGTCGTAATACTCGTTTCTGTGAATGAAACGAAACTTGATATTTACAGCCAAATACAGAAGACGCAGAGTTCAACGACGACTCTCTCTTCCCAAGGTACATTGGTATCAAAGAGGCTACCCTCTTGTTAGTCAAAGAAAAATTTGGGCGGTACTCCTTGCTACGAGTAAGCGATTCTTGCATCTTAGCTTTTATTTTATTTACATTCAGCGTCGAGTTGCTACCACCAACTCGTATATTCCATCGAACGATCTATTTGTTTCAGGAACCACTGTACCTCGACAAATGCATCGTATGTTGTGAAACAGATCTTGAAGATTATTTCGAAGTTCAAGAACTGTATTCCAAAGAAACATTTATATTCAAGGTACGCATTCGCGTATATTTTCACATTCGTAAATTGCAACCGATCTGTTGTCTAAGAAAAAAGAAAAAAAGAAAGGGAACTCGTGTCCATTATTCAATGTTTGTCGAAGGAAATATAATCGTAAAAGGAAAACATCGGTTTTTGTCGTAGGCTGAAGATGGAGCAAGAACGAAAAGATGGTGTAGGACGTTGCAGGCTCATGCACAATCTCTCGGCGCCTGGCGGAAACGTCGCGGAGCATTACCGAATATCATGATATGCGGGGTCGTAAGAAATTGACAGATAATTCGACCGATTGCGCGTATAGAAAAAACCGATGATAGAATCTACAATGTATAGTCGTTATTTAAAGGTTATTATATTCCTAAATGCGCAAGCTTCTTTGCGTACGCTGATTAGCGCAGTCGATTCAACGAGCGTATATGATCTCCAGATAAATTAGTAATGATTTGTCGAGGAGAAAGTGTCGGACCAAAGGATTTCCACCACTCGTTGACCATACTTGTCCACGAGTAATACGAAAATCTCTAGTTCTCGCCAAACGCAGATTCTTTTGCGTTCGGTTGCAGTACGTTGCGAAAAGTTTGAACTTTCCTGTATCGCTGTACTCGAAACTCTACATACGAATGGCCTTGGAACGCACGAACAAAAGGAATCTACTCTTTCTTTTCTTTCCTGATTCGGTTAAATCACGTGTACACAGGGTAAACGATCGTCCTCGTTCTGTGCAGGACAATCTCTTGTTTGTAATTACATTCGAACCGAAAGAGCAGGTACCAGCTGTGATACTGACCGGTTATTGGTACTTTCTTCAGACAATATAAAATTTATACCACGGTACAAGACTCGTTGGCTTTTCTTCCTATTATATTTTCTTAAGTCACATTTATATGTATACAGCGAGAACATCGATAATAACGTGTAAATAATATTAAAGAACGGGGTAATAGGGTTGACGCATTTTGTACCTATACAACAGAGCCAAGAAACTGCCAAATGTTTCGTAAGACCGGGCTTCATTTTATGATTCATCCATCAATTAATATATTATTTCACGACTATTCCTTAAGTAATTACAATTAACAGTATTTTATCGCGTCTAACACACTCACACATACACACACACACATACACAATGAAAATTGTACATTGTATAATAGTATAATTTTATTTAAAATCTAAGCCATATGTTTGTATATAATTGTATGTATATTTATACCAAAATCAGTGTTAGAAACATACTTGTTATATTAAAACCAGCATTCAATAAAAATCAAATATACTTGTACGCATCTCTGTATCGTGTGTGCAGAAAAACGACATTCTATGAATTAGGAAAACAAAATTCAGGTTTGCGTGGTAATAACGGTGGCGGTGGGGAATCTGTAAAGTCACGCGACGGTTCAGCGTGTACGAGACATTGAATGTAAAAATATTTTCAACGTTTCAAATTAAAATTATATTTTAAAATTAGAAATTGTTCAATTATTACATGCGTCCTTATTTTAGAACAAACTCTATGCATGAAAATTCTTGGAGATCTATTTTACGCTCTTCCAGCAGATATATGTAAAAATTATATGCTTCGAATCAATCAATTTCCATTGGAAAAATTTAGGATGATTAAAACGAATCCGAAAGGTGTAAGGCGAGGAGGACAGATATATTTGTATTACCACTTCTCTACGCGACTTCGAATTTCTTGGTACGTACGCGCGAAACACGATGAGCAAGGAGGTATTCGACAAAGGCATACCTATACATATAGTTTTCGCAACGCGAGGAGAGGACTGCGCTCTCCAATCGTATGTAGTAAAGGGTAGCGACGCGATAAGATAGAGTGACAAACTTACTGACAAAATTAGGCGAAACAGGCAAAGATCCAATCCTATACTTTGTTCAACGAGAATTGGAACAAAATGTAAACAGCCTGCACGCGAGCGACGCGTGGTCGGGTCAGGGTAGAATCACAATTTTCGGGCCTCGATGAGGGTCCTCTAAAATTCGTCCCTGAGTATCGCCCACTAACAGCCACTCAGCTTTCATTTCAGATTCTTCTATTGCAAAAGTCAGTATTAGTATAAATTAAGGCCGTAAAGCTAGGAAATTAATTATATATTTAGCATACGTTAAATATTTGTGATAATTTTAGGACAACGACTTCAATTATTATCAATAATTATTTAATTAGAATGAAAATCTAATAGTAAAGTCCATTCTAGAATTTCTGATTGCTAATATGTTTTTAAATCGGTAATAGGAAGTGAAGTATTTAATTAATTTCCTCTTCGACCTGACAAAGCATCATGAAGCTCTATCTGTGTCCTTCTCACTCTGCAAAAACTACACAAGTCTACCCTTATCGGATACCTCTTTGCTCATCATGTTTCGCGTGTACGTACGAAGGAATTCGAAGTCGCGTAGCGAAGTAGTACATAACACGAACATCTCTATCTATCTCTCTCTCTCTCTCTGTCCTCGTCTTACGCAAGCAAAGCGAATTTATATTATTTTTAAGAAATTATATTTTTGTAAGATTAAAAGATAAGCTTACATTGTGAAAAATGTAACGGAATACGATGTAAAAAGGACACAGTTGTCCTAACACTTGAGTAAATCATTGGCATTGGATAGAGAAAATTAATTCGCAAAGTCGCCACCATCGCGGTGGCTACCTTAATTAGGAACTGTTGTTATGGAAATTGTGATTTATTGAATATAAATGTTTTTACATACATAAGAGCATTATTATTTCAAGTGTTATTACTTCCATGATTGGCCAGTAATATTAAATTGTCATTATCGTTTGATAAGTATGCCTACCTTCTTGCTATTAGAGAAGATAGAGACCATATATGTACATATTACTTTGTTAAATAATGCCAACTATATCATTTAATGTTTTAGAAAATTCCTTTTTCTTCGTACAAAGTAGACAACGTATGCTTGTCATGTAGAAAATGCATTAAATAAATCTTTTTACAATTTGAATACTAATATCAATGTTATTAAATAAGATCATGCACAAAACACTGTGTACACGATCAACGAATTCAACGCGTTACGAAGTATTCACTTCCACGGTACTCGTATTTGGAGTGTCTCAGGAAGACTGAATTTCGTCTACGTTCGTGTGCGCAATAAATCGTAATCGCATTTGCAAAGCTGGTCGCAGTCTTCTTATAATACATTCCACTTCATTCTTCATCATGTCACCGACAAACATGTATTTTATATGATACCTATTATAGTCGACGTTAAGGAAATTATAAATTCATTGGTGCAAAGGTCACGTAGCCGAGAAAATGGCCATTATATGATAAAAGGATACAATAAATCACAAACAGGATCCATATATTTGATATGCGTTTGATGCCGATCTACTTGTTTAAGCATTTCATATAAACGGACCACCAATTCAACAACGCAATTTGGTCTCTCAGCATTGAATCTTGCCAAGGTAGGTCCAATCAAGTGACAGGCATATATTAATTGTTCCTCGCTATTCACAACTGGTTGAAGTTTTTCTTTGATAAACCTAAAATCATAATGAATTTCTATTAATCTATATCGGTAAGAGTTTCTCTGTGTGGAGACAACTAACCGATTACGATAAATATAAATTGCATTTAAAATTGAACTTACTGGGGCATGGTAGTGATTTGTCCAACGCCGGCATGATGCCACACAGAGTGTGCCAACGCCAGCATGTAACTATATTTGTTTTCCAATAGACTATTATGGGTATTATTAAAATTGAACATTTGAAACGGTGTTAAATTGTTGTATTGCCAATTCGCTAATCCTGGACTGTTTATAGTTTCCACTAATCTGTCGTGTAGCGTTGACCAATAACATTCTGGTAACGCGGCTAGTAGCAATCCCACGCAATTTATCCATAAATGAATTTCATCCGATGGTATCACAGTGTACCTAATACATATTGTTATTATTCATACATATATAGGTATCCTAGTTGATCAAAATTTCTTCCACAATCAGCAAAAAGATGTTATCGAATAATCGTCCGCCTGTTAAAGGGAGCTGAAAGACCAGCTCTGACCGTGTGTTAATAATAAACTTATTTGATTTTACCCTTTTGCAACCACATCCAGTAATGAATTAGCAACCAAATTAGGAGCAACTGGAACAGCCATGAGTTCGACGCAAGTAACGTACAATGCATGCGCAGCAGGATTTGGAAATTCATTGAATCTCCAATCGGTAGCAGGAAAATGAGCTGTACCTGACATTGCTGTACAAAAATTTGTTTGTTTGATACGATATTTGGATTTAATAACTGTTAATAAGAGAACGATCACTTACTTTCTACGATTCTTCGAACTAACCGGATGTAATAATCTAATTCTGGCATCCAGGTAACAACATCGTCGGACGACCGTGTCATGTACATCTGATAAGCTTCCGAAAGAGCCCATCCTTGAGCCCTAATTTCCCTCAATGATCCTAGTACTGCGGATACCAGTCGCCGTTTTAAAGGAGGTCTGTCCCTTAACATACGTTCATAATAGTGCAACGTATTGTACAGATATGTCACGGGTCGATCTAAAATTCAATACAGAAAATTGAAACCTAAGATATAAAGTTGATACTGTGTACCGACAACACAGTACTACAATGGCATTGTATAACACATCAGGGTGTACACGGACCGTGAAATTTGTATAAACACCCCAAATGTTCCAACAATGTTTCCAAACTTTTCGACACAGCCGGAATTTCCAAGTATCTGTGTACGACTATATCAAAGACCGGTAAAAATCGTAGGCACACGTTTCCAAAATAAACCGGCAAACTTTGATATTGACTAGGGCCTCCGCTGGTTTGCTCCATAATGCCTTCGGGAGCAAACTTCTCTGGGAACTTCCGATGAAACGCAAGATGTTTTTCGTGCCAATTCGATTGTTTCCAATGTTCTGGTGAATTCTCTTTAACGAATTCTTGAACCCTGTTACGAAATTCAATGGCTTTGAGCAATAGCAATTGAATGATGAAAAAACATACTTGTGCTTCGCTGCCTTCATGAGTTCTTAATACTAGGCAAAGAATCAGTCTATCGATGGTTACTATATTGTATCTCCACATCATATCGTTAATCGTGTCCACACATTTGTTTACATGTTGGCCGCCCACGCTGTTAGCAAATTCGAAGACAAGGTAATCGCAGAACTTTCTGAGATGTGCCGACAGGGCCCTGGCACCGATCCTTTCAAGAATCTTATATGCAATTGGACTGATACGGTCGGTTTCGAAAATCATCTTCCACAAAAGACACAGGAACAAAGGTGGTGTTCCAGGTACGGAAAAGTGTGCTATAATGTCGTTTTCGTTGCTCATGGAAGACCAATTTCGGTATTCTTCTTCTACCGCTTTCTTGATTTGCTGTTTATTTTCTCTCGCCACGCTGTTCTGTTGGAAAAATTCGCTGAGAACCGGGGGGAAACATTGAAGAGTATGATTGGCCCAGGAATGTGGTGTATTCTGCATTATCGTGTTCAATAATTCCTTACACCATGTGCCACTGTGACTATCCGATCCTGTGCCTGTGACATGCATAGACCTTGCCAGCGTCAATACCAAAGCTCTATTCAACTCTTCCGATTCCGCGGAAACGAGAGTTTTTGGTTCTGATAAAAATCTAGACAACTGCGGCTGTACTTCGGCAGATCCCAAACCTGTGATCAATCGTAGAGCTGTGCTTTCCACGCACAGGTGAAGCTGTGTCTGATTAGTCTGTGGCACAGCTGCAAGACTGTGTAAATGGGATAAAAGTTGTACTCTGTAATGCGGCTGTATATGATGCATTCTATAACTGAACATTTCTAGGAGCGTGTACAGTGTTCCCCACGCGTGAGACTTGAAAACTGTTGGAAGTAGTTGGCTAATAAAACCTTTGATACCAAGGCTTTCGATCTCGGTGTACACCAACAGGCGGCTGTAAGTTTCGACCAAGGCTGGTGCCAGTGCCATGTTGCTCTTAGATTGAGCTAACTTGATCACATGGGTCACGATGCTATGTATGAGACTCATTTTCGAATGAACCGTCAACGAATCTAAGATGGACATGGACAACGGTGTGGTTGGACCACTCGCAAGAGCCGCATTATTTTGTAACGTTTGCATCGGCTGTTGTTGTTGACCTTTTTGAGTGCCGAGTATGGTGTCTACTAAAGCTGCCATTGGTCTACCGAAGAATTCTTGATTCGTTGAATACGCGTTGCACAGTAAAGCGATGCGATAGTCGGAACCCATGCATAAGGAAGTATTGGGCATCACTAGATGTTGCAAAAATTCGTGGTGAAGTTTCAGAGTGTGAGGTATAGGTCTATGAATATTTGTATGTTCGGATTGAGCTTTTTTCAATAAATGTATCCATATGCATGTTATGGCCATCTGATGTGTACACAACGCTTGAGTATAATCCGGAACAGGTAAAGGTTCTTTCTCCGGATAGAGAAGATCGTACAACTTTAATACTGGCAAGAAGTTCGATAGAGGATTTCTTTGAATACTTCCTGAGATAAATTGCAGCAGAACCCACATTAAATGATCTCTCCCTTTCCTCAAATCTCTGCCAGCTAGTTTACCGTGGATTGCCATTACGATACTTGGAAAACAAGCATAAGAGAATAGTATGAAATATATAAGCTGCGATGATAAATGTAACCATACATAGTGATTCGCAACAGTTCCGTCTGTTCCTTCGGCTGGCAAAGTTTCGTTCTCTGCGCGTTCCACAGCATGAATAACCAATTCAACTAATTGTTCTTCTAAAGCTATACATCTTTGTTTTTGCTGTAACATAAAAAAAAAAAAGATATTTAACGTTATCAAGTGTTTCGAATTCATATATGTACAAGAAAGCACACGAGAGCCTGAACGAATGTACCTGCTTTTGTAAACCAAGCATAGAACAAACCATATCCCTGCTGTAGGGTTGTTCTAAAACGTATCTGAGCAATCCAGTTTGAGGTTTAAGTAAGTCCTCGTCGTAAGGTAAATTTCCTTTCAAAGAAAATTTCAATGTCGTAGTATCGAGCACCCAAGGATTAATTAAATCTGCGTATCCAGTATGTTCTACCACCGGTAACATTTTTGAATGTCCGACAATAGATACCATTTGCGCAGTGGTACGAAAACTTTCAACAAAACTTGAAAGTAATTTTGCTAATTTCTAAAAATGATCGGTCTCGTAAGATACGCGTAAATCAATGAAATATATTGTACATTGTACCATTTCGATTACATACCCAGTGTGGCCAATTTTTGCCATCGGGGTAAGCTTTTTGAATTTCATTCGCTATAAAATAGCCAGGCAATAGGCAAGCATTTCTATCGAAAATATATTCGATTACATTTTCTAGAGCCTTTAACTGTGGCTGAACAGATGCGTTCAGCTTTGCAGGAATAGTTTGTGCTTTTTCTTTGCAGCCCTACGATGCAAATTAAAATATCACTTATTTATCTTTATATAGTTACAAAAGTGATTTTGCTTAATTACTTACCTTCATTATTTCTCGGACTCCCTTATAATCAACTCCGCCAATAATATGCCGAATAAGAACGAAACATTCGACCCAAAAATCTTCTAATTGATACTGCAGTTTATCACAGCTTAATATACACTCGCATACAAGTCTAAAAAGAAATAATATGCGGTTACTCCATTATATTACATTAAGTCGTCCATAAATTCGTGTCGCGAGTTCAGTCTAGAGAATATATTAGAAGCAAAAAGTTAGCGAATGACGAGCATTTCGTCTTTTAGATAATAGAAAAACCAAGAGTGAGAAACGAACTAATTTTCGTCATTTTCGCAGACGTCTAATCTAGTGGACGAAACAAGGAATTTATCGATTCCTAAAGATGTTTGAAACATTGAATAGCCACACGATCTGTCCGCAGTTATTCAAAGAAAATAGAAACGGTAAATGGCACAAACTTATGGGACAACCTATTTGAACTTATTATAGATATTAACGATGTTTACGACGAATATACCTTGCTGGCAAGACGTTAGATGTAACCAAATTTTCGAGTAGAGACAATAACAATTGTAAACGTCTATGATTCGTCATTGCTGCTGCCATAGATAAAAAATGTCGTACGGCGTTCTCTTGCTGTTCTTTGGATAAATTTGACATAGCAGACGTTAACTCTGTCTGCCATGACGATATCTTATCATTTTCGCTATTCGGATGATGCACGAGCACGCAGCTAAATGCTTCTTCTATAGCTTCTACTCTCTGTAACACAATGGTAAATGCAACGGTCGAACAGTCATTAATGCTCGTACGACAGGGCTTAGGTCCGTTTGAAACCAGAGCATAAATAATATTATTTGATTATCTAGTTTCTGACAATTAACCTGTCTAGAAGGAATACCATAACACATATATTGAAAAAAATTGATAAATAATATTACAAATGAACTTAAGCATATTCAGTTATATTTTTGTCAAGAACGTCCGCTGTACGAATATTAGGCATTGACAGCTATCGACATTAAAATGATACTTACCAAAATATCGTTAACGATATTAGTAATTTGAGTTTCGTTACTCATTCTTTTAAGCTAAGTTTTCCACTCAAGTTACAAAAACATTCAAACCTAATAAATAGAATCAAACGTTATCGTTTTTATATCGACGTTTTACATAGTTTCTATCTGATATTTGTATCAGATATATCGTAAATAAATTAGTGAAACACTCGCGGAGTTTTGTTTACGGTCTCATAACCTATACAATACTATACAACTACGATCGGTACAGGCGTGCACTTCAGCCATACTGGTTTCACTCTTTTCGCGCACCCGTACACCTGGCGCTCCATCTGAAGCTCGTGTCGCGACATTCGACTTGTACTTTTCGCCCAGTAAGATTCACGACCATACAGTGCAGACTATGATACCTCGACCTACAAACATTTCTTTATATTCCTAGTTTTGTTCGATAATAGCGAAACTGTGATCGAGAATCCTACGAGGCGAAATGTACAAGTCGAATATCGTGCCATGTATTTCAAACGAAGCGCCAGAAATATGGATGCGCGAGAAGAGTGAGACAGCGAGCACGGTAAAGCGAGACAAGCTACACTCGTTAGTTTCCTCTCTTTGTCTAGAACCGCGAGGACAGTACTGTTTAGCCGGGAAGCGTCAACCAATCGGAAAAGAAGCAGTTTCACGCATCGGTTTACTATGGTTTGCGTTTATTTTCGCGCATACAGATGTCTCTATTGCGACTAGAACGTTTCGAACATCGTCGAGAGATGACGTTGTTAGTGATTTTGCAAAGAACGTTCGGTTTAAAACAGTTTCAAATTCTTCCACGACATACGTGTTAGTGAAAAAACTGGCTCGCAGAATATACAACGGTAGAGAAACAGAGAACCGTAACGTCCACAATTTTAAACATATACGATAGATATTTATGATTCGAAAGCCAAGAAAAAGACATACCGTATTCATTAATATCGTATAACCTATATTCGATATATTCGATTTGCGTAAGTTTTTAGAGGTAAAGTATGTTCTCGGGAAAACGTAATGTGACATCGACGATGCTATGTGGGCCCGCAGAATTCAGCAAATCTTTCATGTTCGAGGTAAAATCAGAAGGAAAAAATGATATTGTATTTATAATTTATACAACATAAAATATAACGAATTAAACTGTTATTGTAATTTTACGAGCGAGAAATCACTTGGGGGAAATCACTTAATCGATCGAAATGCTCGGTATAGATCGATAGACAATATATGGAATCACCGTGAGACGTAACGGTTGTTTGAGTTTTTATCGCATGCGTGGTCGAGCGATAACACTTTTTGAATCGCGGCAGCTGCGTAAACGTAAGAACGCGAATGCGCAGATCGAGAATCTGTGAACTCTGTCTGTTTCATTTTCACCAAGTACGGTCCGTTAAAAGCGTAAATATGCGGCACACAGTCGGTTAGGAGCAGTTACCAGTCTAGCATTTCCGGAATCAGGTTTCCCTTGTTTTCGTTGTTTTCCTTAGGTAGCGATTTACTGGGCCGAAGAAGGACACCGCGTCGTTTACATTACACCAGCCCCGTTGGATAGCCTGCCGGCGGCCTGTCACGACAGAAGTAATCCAGCACCCGCGGCTTTCAGGCTGATGAGATTTATGTAAGCGGAACACTTTTCTTGCGGTGCTTCTGCACGTGCATCGGCCTTCGAGAGATTCGCTCCTCCACTATAAAAAGACCAAAAGATTTATGTCCACTTAGCTTAAACTTCGTTTCGAGCTTATTTTCAAATCGTCGAAATTTCTGTCTCGAATCTCGGAGCGTTTCGCGACGTTTCGCTTTTTATCCGGACGATGGAAGGAAACGCGGATCGATCCAATTTCAGCTCCGACTTTGGATGGTCCGAAAGAACCTCTGCTCGGGATCGGTTATCTAATAATAAGTCTGGAACCTGAAATATCTTCCGTTCTCTTTATCCGGTCAAGGTTATGCACATACATATTTTCCGTTTCTGCAGGCATCTCAGAAGCGATCGATCAAGGAGCCATAGTATGACATTCTACCGATGATCCACGCGTGCAAACACGAGCGTTAGCTGGTTTATACGCGACCGTGTTTTCAGTGTTTTCAGAGAGAGAGAGAGAGAGGAGAGCTCCCGTTAAGCGCGCATAGATCACACAGTAGGATCGTTATTCTCTTCGCTACGATCCGCACGCGCACGATTCTCGCCGGTTACAGATTCTCGGTAAATGGCTCGTGCGGCGAACATCGTTGCAGACACACGTAGGCGGATCTTTCAGGTTTTCTTTTGACCGTTTATTTATTTATTTATTTCGCGTCGAACCTAACAAAGATCTTGTTGCTCGTAGATACGTTGTTACAACACCCGAACGATTTCGACGGATTTATTCTTTCGGCTCGAAGATCGAGTAAACGACGGAGTTTGCAATTTTTATGGTTGATTCATTGCCGCAACCGGCGGCAACCGGGATGGCAAAACAAACAATTGGTCAAGGATCGTCGCAAATCAGCCGCTTCCTCCATCGTTCGTTTATTTTTCAAACGGAGCTTCTGGCGAAAGAGGAAAATCCCGTGCTTTAATTGCCACATTTTTCGCTAGATCGTTCGGCGCAACCCCGAACACGTGTGTTTTCATGATTCGAAACATAAGCTCGAACGAGATATTTACGACGCTAGTTTCCAACGAGAACCTACGGTAGTCGAAGGACGCGCGGTACGAGAATTACGAGCGGAACGCCGCCGCGTCGAACGAAAACACAAATTACGATAATCGGTTTGTTCGATCGAAATTTTGTATAATTAATGCAGGTACTTGGAGAACTACGAGGCGCTTGTACAAGAGCTGGTCAGGCTTCACACGTACGCTGTTCTGCCGTCGGTGCTCTTGATCGACGACTTCGACGCCTACATCGAGGACTATGAAAATACTAAGTCCATGCGCGACGCGCACGTTGCCAAGACGTGCGCGTTGATCCTCGATACGATGAATTCTTGCTCTCGAATTTTAAAGAATGCCGTAAGTAGGCGGGGATCATCTAGGGATTCTATTAAACGAATCGAGATTTTTACGCGCGATTTCATTTTTAGACGCGCGCGTGCATCTGGTCAACTTCGGCGATGTCCGCCAACGATAGCAGCATTTACTCGATGTACTTTAACGATGCTTGGATCGTGACCAACGAGGAAGAGAGTAAGACGATATTGTTGAAGAGATATGGACGTCGGGGTTCCGCGGAGAAATCTAAATCTTACAGATACCGTAAACTCGAAGATGGAACGCGGGTGTTGAAGCAAATACTTTGTGAAACCGATGAGAATTAATTCGTGCGAATCCATCGACGAGCGGGGACAAACGAAACGAATGATACAGTAGCAAATATATCTTTTTCTATTCGACCCTGTTGTCGTCTTTGTTCCATTCTCGAAGGACACCTGCGAAAGAGTGTGCGCAGGTTCGTTAAGAACGAGGCAATTTTTTCGGTGTATCGGTGTTCGAAAGAAGCGGCGTGCGAAAGGAGGAGTACACCAACGAGCGAGCAACTCGGGGGAAAAAAGGCGAATGCAAGGATGTTGGCGTCCTATTGTCTGGTTCTGCGGCTCGAGCAGGTCGAGAGCCGAGTCTCGGGGGGAGGTTCTCCTCTGTGCTCGTAGACCGAACCGGCCACTCGTTCCAATTGGTCCGAAACAATCTGAAACTGTCAGGACTACGGGGGCCCCGTGGGTTTCTCCCTGGTAATAAATGGAAACTTGTCGGCACCGTAAATTCCGGACGACGGAAAAAGAGGAGGAAAGAAAATGAAATTCAACGAGTCACCCGGCGACCGACTACCACACAATGGGGGTCTCGACAGGTAAAGGAACTTGTGATTTTTACAAGTTCGAAGCCACCGTTCGAAACGGAATGAAAAGCGATCTACGATTCGAGCTCGATCGACCGGTTAAGAACTGTTTCATGGAAAGAGACATTTAATGTAACCGCGCGTATATTCGTATCGCGTTTGTAAATTTTAGGCGGATTCGTGGATGTTGAACGAACGACGATCGTACACGAGGAGACGAGAACGACGATTATTACGGGGTAGAGAATTACAGGGTTCGGCGGAGAAGTTTACATGCTCGCGAATGGATCGGTCGTCACCGACGGTCCAAGAGGCAACGATAAACCACCGTCCGTGTTCCGATGACCGGTGGAAAAGAGACAAAAGAATGGTGAATCTGCGATCCGAGGAGCGGAGGAGAGTGGACGGAGAAAGGGAGGGAGAGGGAGAGGAGAGAGAAAGAGAGAGAGAGAGAGAGAGAGAGAGAGAGAGAGAGAGAGAGAGAGTTGACAGAGGAGGAGAGAGGGATGCGAGGAGGGAAAAAGAGACGATATCGCATACCTGAGTGAACAGGTGTGCCGGAGTGGACGACGAAGTGAGTTGCTGTCCAGCCGACGGCGGCTCGGCCAACGAGCAGCCTGTTAAGTCCCTTCTTGCACGGAGAACAAGCACGCAATCATTGGCCGAGTTCAGAATTCGCAACCACTCTGCGATGGAATTCCCCTCGAGAAAGGAAAATCACCACCGAAACCGACACAGAGACCGAGAAGACCGTCCGCGACGCCAATTTGCTCGACCGATTACACCCACCGGCAACTCGTATTCATGAATTTTGCAGGCCCGCGAGCTCCGCTCACGCTCCTCGCTCGTCCATAGATATAGAACGCGAACCCGAATTCTCGTTTACGTTTCACAGAAGAAACGTTGAAAGGGCTAACGATGGTTAGGGGCGGATCTCGCGAGGGAATTACAGGTATAGAGGCGCGCGTAGGTAGCCGAGCAACGGCAAATATTATCGCGCTCTCGCTACGCCTACCGGTGGAACGAGTTCGATCGACGAGTTCGATCGTTCTGGCCGATTAACCGCTATTGTGTTCGCTCGTCTCGAGCAGGTGTCCCGAAGACAGATATCGCTTGCACGCGACAACGTCGACGATTATCGGTGGAACGCGTAACGTACGATCCGCGTGAAATCTGGCGACGGCTTTAACGCCTATCGCTCGGCCAGTTTCGATCGGTCTCGCTCGCGTACAAGTCCGTGGATAACGAGAGAGAGAGAGAGAGAGAGAGAGAGAGAGAGAGAGAGAGAGCCGACGTGTCTCTCCGCGATACACGGTTCCGTAAATTAGAACGCGCGCGCGCGCGAGCGGTCGTATTCGTTTTCTCGACGCCGTAAATAAATAAAGCAATTTCGATGGAGGAAATTACGGGAAAATCGTGGTTTTACATTTTTCCACGATTCCAGCAACCATCGAAAGTTTAAAGTGCAAGCTAATACGGAATAATATTAGCATTCGTTTATATCGAGCGACTACAAGCTACTAATTATAATATTCGATGTTAGCGGGGAGTACGAGAGAAGGCGATGAGTTGTTACGGGAACCTGTTATTCCAGTATTACGAAGCGGTATTAGATAATATTTTATTAATTTTCCCGAAGAGCGCGCGTCTTCCGTTGTCATAAGTGGTCGTAAAATATTATTTTAATCGTACAACGTATCCAATGTATCGATCTACGTATAATCGAGCCGCGGATGTTTACAACTTTCGCTTGTAAATATCAGCCGACGCGGGACAACTTGAAATCGATATTCCGAAGATTCGGAAGACGCTCGGGAAGACGACGGGATAAAAGGGAATAAACTGGAACGAATCGTTGAAATTTAACACGGGGAACGCGCGGACGACTCGTCTTCTCGTTCTTGAAAGCTCTCTTCTTCCATCGGTCGTTTCGAATCGAATTCCGTTCGCGGTCGTTGCTCGACGACCGGCGAACGTCGGACTAGATGCAGCTAAATCGAAAGCGATATCGCTGGAAATCGGTTCGCGAATGCGGAACGTGGATTTCGGGCTTATCGGTCGATCGAACGGGCAAATAAATCGAGCGAGCAGATAAGAAAGATGAAGAGGGAAATCGACGGGCGTCGATCGGGCGAATATCCGGTGTCGAGAGCGCACCCTCGACGGGTGCCAGATTTCACACAGGGAAAGAGGGGGACGAGAGAGTGCCGAGCGAAACGGATCCGGTCCCCCGTCGGTTTCGGAACCATCGAAATCCCCCGATAGCGGCGAGGAGAGGCGCGTTGCCACATAGGAACTGCATCGAGGAGTCTGCCATCGGGCCGAGACTCGAGCTCGAGACTCGAGACTCGAGACTCGAGACAGGCTGCTCCAGCGGTCGGGCAAGTGCCAGTTGCTCGGCAGCAGTTGCCACGGCTGGACGACACGTTCGCGTCCTTTTTTCGAGGAGATCCTCCTTCGCGTGCACGCATCTACCCCTTCGATCTCTTCGGTGGTCGCACCAGTCGCCGATATATATATATATATATATATTCGAACGAACGACAGAATTTCGTTCGGTTCGGTGCGCCAACAACGATTCTCGTCTCCGCACCCCTCGGACGGAGAAAATAGACGCGCGCCTATTGTATACCGTATCAATTTGTACATGTAAAATAGAAAGAGAGAAAGGCGGAGAGAGGAAAGTAGATCGAGCGAGAGCGAGAAAGAGAGATCCGCGAGGACGGGAAAACTCTGTACGCGAAGAGAGATCATGAAAAGGAGGATGCCATGTGCCTGGAACAGTGAGTGCGTG